AAAAAAAAAAAAAAAAAGTAGGTGAAAAGCAAAACTAGCATTCCACGTTTGTTTTGCAGTGAAATGTATAAAGAGGTGGTGTGCACCTTCGACAGCATAGTGTCGCCAAGCTCTGTCCCTATGAACTACACTGTAAATACATTATTTCTGTATTACCTAGGCTGGGTATTTATCATATCTTTCCTGCTTTTGGAAGCTCTGGTGGTGTAAGACATTTGACTGCTAACCAGAAGGCTGGTGGTTCAAATCCAACACCCACTCCTTGGAAGGATGGTTGGGCCATCTACTTCTGTAGTGATACCACCTTGGAAACCCAAGGAGGGGTTGCTATGAGTCAGGTAGGGTCTGACTCGATGGCAGTGTGTTTGGTTTTGCTTTTCTTGCTTCTACTGTATCTTAGTGTTATTCCAGGTTGTATGTGTTATTTGGTATGATTTAGTAGGTTATTTTTTAAATCTTGGAACCTAAAAATTTTTCTGTATAAATTAATGGAAATTGCTCCTTTGCTTTTCACCATTTCTGCTTACAAAAGATTTCATAGGAACCTCTACTTCTGGATAGCAGGGAAACCTGTATATAGGCTTAGCATAACACAAATTGTGCTCCAAAATTTCCCACAAACATTCTACACATGTGGAAAACGTCTAGGATGAGAAAATGTCATGATTTTTAACACTCAGATCTTAACACATTTACCTGATTCTCAAATATCAAGAAACGATAAATAGCTTATGTAGTCCACAACCAGGTGGTTTATTTATTGCATGTAGCCATTAATCTTTCCTCAGCACACCAGAGTGTTTAGAAAAATCAAAACAATAATCCATTCCAAATCCTTCATCCCTGGAGCAGAGGAAAACTTATGTGTCAAGCATAAATCATTAACTTACCTATTTTTAAAAAGCTCTATGAGGCAGATATTCCTTCTTATAATTTCCACTGAAGTAGAAAGTAATTTGCCCAAAGTTTGTTGTTGTTGTTATGTGCCATCGAGTCGCACCCGACTCATAGCGACCCCAAAGTTACACAGGTAATAATTGGTGGAACTGAGGAACGAGCTGGCCCAATCTGGCTCAAGCTCTCAGCAACTGCCACTATAGTACTACACAGGCTCTTAATCTACCTTTCTGTTTAATCTTTAAATATCCCAACTGAAATAAGAGTAGCTACTCAAAAAGTGAGTCAAGATTATCTTAATAACAAAGAACATTAAGTGAAGTTGTAAAACAATGTGTACTGAAGGGCCTTAAATTGTACTACATGTGTACTCTTAGGAGTATAGAAAAGCAAAAATTTGGCAATTTCAATATAATTTGTAAAGAAAAAAAAAGGTCATGGCCATCACCTTTGATTCATAGCACTAAACCTAGCAAGACTAACCAAAACCAAACCCACTGCCATGAAGTCAATTCTGACTCACAGAGACCCTATAGGACAGAGTAGAACTACCTCCTAGGATTTACCAAGGCTGTAATCTTTGCAGAAGCAGACTGACACATCTTTCTCCTGCAGAGCAGATGATCTTTCTGGTAGCAGCCAAGCACTTAAATCACTGTGCCACCTGGGCTCTTTCTAGTAAGACTCAAAAAATTCAAATACCAAACTTACTGCCATTGCATTGACTCTGACACACAGTCCTGTAAATCTTCATGAAGCAGCTAGTGGGTTTGAACCACTAACCTTTTGGTTAGCAGTCAAATGCCTTAACCACTTCACCATCAAAGTGCTTTTCTAGTAAGACTCCAAAAACCAAAAACCAAACTCACTGCCATCGAGTAGATTCTGACTTATAGCGACCCCCTTTGAGATTCTGAGGCAGTAAATCTTTAGGGAAGTAGACTGCCCAGTCTTCCTTCCACGGAGTGGCTGGTGGGTTTGAACTGCCAACCTTCTGGTTGGCAATCAAATGCCTTGGCACTACACCACCAGAACTCCTTCCTAGTAGACTAGGAACAGTTATTATAAACTTCTTCCATACCGACCATAAGCCTGTTTTTAAGACCTACCTTATTCTCTAACAAATTCCAAAAAATTCCAAATTTTATGATCACTGGCATTTTTTCTAGTACTTCAAAGTTTTCATGATAATTTTAACATGCATAGTGCACACTACTTGTGGTTTAGGTCAACAAATTTCAAAACTTTAAAAAATTGAGTAACGAAACGGATGACATTAGAAAGTTATTCTAATCAGTAAAATGGTAATGAACAGAAAGACAATTATGTGGGTCTCAAACAATCTGTGATGAATGTACTATCAATTTACAACATGCTATCTATTTATGATGCCGTATGAAGGCTTTTAGGCACATGAGCTGATGTTGAGACAAACACTAATAAACACCCTGAGTCGCAGATGTTCCACATAGTTAATCCTCCTGGTGACAAACAATGAGGGTTGCAATGCAGGGAGGAAATGTACATGCATGAGGAATGAAGGAGGGATATTATGTAGGTTATGAGGCTGACACACCGACATGTGAAAGGTTTTTGGGCGCCACCAGTCGATGCAGCACCAGAGATTGTGTTTGTTTATTTACGCCGTGTCGCCTGGAAGAAAGCCGATAAGCTTCGAGTGTACTGTAAGTTAATAATATCGAGGAAAAAGGAGGACTAGTGAACATCTGTGGATAGGCAGATCAACGGTGAGCCCCAAAGGGCAGCTGACCAAGATCACTCCCCCTCCTACGGTCCTTTTTCTATTTACGCACAAAGAACAGGTTGCTTTAGGTCAGTCCTCTGCCTCCTTCTACCCCAATTACCATGGCCTTAATTTTAGGGTAGCTAGAGAAAACTACGTGGAGAAAAAGAAGAGGGTCTCGGGAGGGTCTGTCTGCGCTCCGGAGGCGACTGCTCTCCCAACACAGGCCCGGGTCGGCGCGGCCGCAAGAACCAAGGGCCAGCCGCGCTCGCCTCCTCGTCCAGGCTGCGGGAGCGGCGCCTCCTTCCTTCTTTCGTGGCCCCATCACCTCCATCTCGGCGTCTGCCGTCACCAACACCACCTCCCCTCAGGCCCCTCAAAACGACGCACTCTACAACCCGCGGCCGCGCGGCAGAATTCCACCCCACTTTGCCTTTGGTTTCGCTTGCCCTTCAAGGGGCCTTTCTCCACTTCTTTCACTTCTCAGTGCCTTGAATCCCCCTACCCAGAGCTCTGCTTTGCTACCTGGATCCGCTTCTTGTGTCGCCTGCGTTCCGCCATGTTGGCCGCTCCGCCCGGTTCTGTCTGACGTGGAGTGATGAGGGGGCGCTGTAAACCTCGCGAGAGCGCGCGCGCGGCCCGTTATGTAACTCACCGGCTGGTGCCCGGGAAGCAGGGAGGCCAGGCGAGGCCCAGATCCGGGCATGTCTTGCGGTGGTTGACAGCAACTTCTTTTCCCCTCTTGTCTCCGCGTCTGTTGTTGGGGAAACTGAAGAACCTCTGGGATAGGGAAAAGTCGAGAAGTGGGTCAGAGAATGAGAGGGCTGAGTAGAGTCTTTGGTTCTCAAACCTGACTGAGCCTCTGAATCATCTGGGGACCTCCTAAAATACAAATTCCTGGGCCCTTCCCCCCCCCAAAGTCAGAGTCATTATATTTGGGGTGGGGCCTTTCACAGAAGGAGACCAACCTAGTCCTGAAGTTTTATCAATGGCAGCTCCTATAATCTTCCCAAAGAGCCCACCCCACTCTTTTCCCACGTGTACATTCTATCAACACCATATTAAAGATGAGAAAACCGAGACAACTGGGGGATAGAGATATAAGCTGACTTATCTAAAGTTCCACAGCTGCTAAGTGGCAGAGCTAAGCCTGAGTCAGTTATATTTTCTCCCTACAATGTACTGGTAGTGCAGCTCATCTGAAACAAATCGGATTCTCTGTTCCATTCTTCAGGTTGTTTCTCAAGATTCACCTTAGAATCCAGGCAACAGAGACAACCCAGGGAAGTCCAAGTGAGATAACAGGAGAAAGATTCTAAGAAGTTAAGAATAAAGAAGGTGACAGGCTACAGACTTTTTTTTAAGTCTGGGAATTACTGTTACAACTATTGGAGTTTTTCTTTTTTTCGAGTGACTTAGACCAAAGACAAAGGACTAAAATTGCTTAGATGGAAATTTTTTCCGTAACTGTAATGGAGATTTTAAAGGATTCTTTAGTTGTGGAAAATACAAAAAAAAAAAAAAAAGTAGAAGAAAATAAAAATTCAAAATGCCAGCACTCAAAGTTATAGCTACTGTTAACATTTAGTGTATTTGCTTCTAGTATTTTTGACGTGTCTATATATTTTTATTTGTATATTTCCCCTCCCCCAAATGCAGATCATACTGTATATACAATATGATAGCCTGCTTTTTTTCATTTAGTGTTATATTGTAAGCATTTCTTATGTCATGAAGTTCTTCAAATTCCCCATATTATGTATGTAACCTAATAGAAATTAAATATGCAATTAAGGCAAACTGTGGTATCTTGATAACGCTTCTATTTTGGACTGTGCAATTCTGGCCTCAGGGTACAGGATCAGCAAGCCATTTAGTTCCTTTCTTCTCTTTTAATCTATAACTAGAGTGTGTGTAGGAGAGGAGGAGATGAGAAAAAGTGATGACTCTTACAAATTAACCTAAAAGGTAGCTTTATCTTGTAATTTAGAGTAAGAAATATGTTTATTTCCCTCAGTCCGTGCCCCCTCCCCCAACATGGTGATTGATCTGTTTTGTGTTGTTTTATTTGCACTGTTCTCACAGACAGCTGGTCTATAAAGATACATTGTTGCACATTTACACCAGGTAGGTACACTCCTTAGAACAATCAACCAGGGGAGATCAGAAGGGCAGTATTTGCACAGGGAGAAAGCTCAGAGGGCAGGAATGCATGGGGAAGAAGGACACAGGGAAAAGGTATTCACAGGGAGGAAGTGGGAAGAGAAAACTTACATAATGGGAATTGCAATCAATGTCATGAAACAAAATGTGTATGAACTGGTGTATGGAAAATGAATTTGCTCTGCAGACTTTCACCCAAATCACAATTTAAAAAAAAAAAATCATGGTTAAAAATAAAGATGATTGAGTTGACAAATCTTTGTTATGTATGTTTTTACCAAAAATAATAATTTTAAAAGATTATCCAAAAAGATTCATGACATTTATACAAACATAAAAATGAAGAGGTATTAAAGATGTTATTGTGTTATTGTACTGGTTAATTGTGAGGAGCAGGTACATGTTATAACCAATTCAAAAGTAAATTAAAAAACAGACACTTGTAAAAGGAGAACTTAATTTGCTATGTAAACTTTCACTAAAAACATAATAAAATATTATTATTTTTTTAAAAAGGTATATTGTTGCATTTAATAGGTACTGAGTGCCTATTGGGAGCTCTGGTGGTGTAGTGCCTAAGGCATTTGACAGCTAACCAGAAGGCTGGTGGTTCAATCCCACCAACCACTCCTCAGAAGGATGGTTGGGCAATCTACTTTCATAGTGATACCTCCTTGGCAACCCAGGAGGGGTTGCTACGAGTCTGGTCCCACTCGAGGGCAGTCTGTTTCTTTTTTTTTTTCATTTGGAGTGCCTATTATTAGGTGCCCTGACAACTCATAGTGACCCCATGTGACACAGGAGACTGCCCCATAGTTTTTTTTTTTGTTGGTTGGTGCTCAAATAATTTCTTTTAGAAGGAGAATCAGCACAAGGCAGGTCCCTATGAGGTGGAGATTAAGGTTGTCCCAAATGTCCAGCTTTCCTGAACTGCTGTAGCACTTCATCATCTCTAACATCAACTCCTCCTCCTCCACTCAGCACTCTCCCTCCTGAAGTCGGGTTCTGTATTTCCCTGTAATGTCTCACAGAATTCAGAAACTGCCAAGGAATCAATTCATGTGGTGGTGGAGGCTGGGAGAGTGGCAAGTTCCAAGTCTGTGGGTAAGTCTGGAGAATTCTCCCCATTCACGTGGTTGAAGGGGCTGCTTAACTCACATTGGCAGGTCAGATGATGAAGAACAAAAGGCAGGACCAGAGCACGAGAGACCTTTCCCAGAACATTCATTTTCACTCTCAAGTAAACCAAGGGTGGTGTCTTGAGTTACACCCTCCAACAAGGTGGGACTCAAGATACATCGATGCCACCCTAAACAGGCTTGTTGTTGTTATGTGCCATCAAGTCAGACCCGACTCATAGCCACCCCTCCTTGGGTTTCTGAGGCAGTATCACTACGGAAGTGGATTGCCCAACCTTCCTTCCGAGGAGTGGCTGGTGGGTTTGAACCGCCAGCCTTCTGGTTAGTAGTCAAGTGCCTTAGGCACTATGCTACCAGAGCTCCTATAAACAGGCATAGAGACTAGGATTTACAATACATCACAAAATGAAGGATGATGACTGTTGTTGTTTGGTGCCTTCAAGTGAGCTGCGACCCATAATGACCCTATGCACAACAGAACAAAACACTTCCCCATCTTATGCCAGCCCCGCAAGCCTTGCTATACCTGATATAAGACATATATATATATAATATACACATACACACACACACACATATCTCTATTTTTGCAGCCGCTGTGTCAATCCATCTCCTTGAGGGCCTTCCCCTTTTTCGTTAATCTTCCATTTTACCAAACATGATATCCTTCTCCAGGGAATAGTCCCTTCTGACAACATGACCAAAGTAGGTGAGACGAAGTCTGGACAGCATTCTCCCTCCCAAGGAGCATTCCTGCTGCACTTCTTCCAGGACAGATTAGTTAGTTCTTTTAGCAATCCATGGTACTTTCAGTATTCTTTGCCAACACCACAACTCAAAGCATCAACTCTTCTTCAGTCTTTCTTATTCATTGTCCAGCTTTCACACACATGTGAAGTGACTGAAAACACCATGGCTTGAGTGAGGTGCACCCTAGTCTTCAGAGAAACATCTTTGCTCTTCAGCACCTGAAAGAGGCCTTTGGAAAGCAGGTGGTGTAGTGCCTAAGGCATTTGACTGCTAATCAGAAGGCTGGCCATTCAAATCCACCAGCTACTCCTTGAAAGGAAGGTTGGACAATCCACTTCCGTAGCGATATGGCCTCAGAAACCCAAGGAGGGGTCACTATGAGTTGGATCTGACTCCATGGCAGTGAGTTTGTTTTTTGGTTATATATATATATATGTATTTGGTTATATACATATATATATATATATATATATATATATATATATGTATATAAATCTATTTATATATAAAAGAAGGAAGTGCTTCAGGGTTGTATCCTTTCACCATACATATATATATGTATTTGGTTATATACACACACACATATATATATATATATATGTATATAAATCTATTTATATATAAAAGAAGGGAGTGCTTCAGGGTTGTATCCTTTCACCATACTTATTCTACCTTTGGGGAGTCAGGACATGAGTTCAAGAAACTACTAGGGTAGCTGTGACTCAGAGCTCAGGAAGCCAGCACTGTTGAAACTACCCCTGAACTCCCATGAAGATGAACACTGGACACTGGAGTGCTACTGTACAAAGACCCAGCAGCAGCAAGAAGATGGCTTCCTCATCATTTTGTTCTCCTGGTATCTTATCAGTGCCTCTGATTAGATTCTGGAGCTCTGGCGGGGTAGTGCCTAAGGCATTTGACGGCTAACCAGAAGGCTGGTGGTTCAAACCCACTAGCCACTCCTCAAAAGGAAGATTGGGCAATCTACTTCTATAGTGATACTGCCTCAGTTACTCAAGGAGAGGTGGCTATGGGTCAGATCCAACTCGATGGCAGTTGGTTTGGTTTGGTTTTGGCTAATTAGATTCAGAACTCTGGCCACAGGGAGTCTGGGAAATCCTTGGCTCATTTCTTCCCTCACATTCAGGTGACATGTCACCTCCATGGTAAAACCTTCTGTGAATACTTCCTTCAGAAGTCATGGATCACGTTTATGGGAGGACAGGTGAATGAGCCAGAGCCAGAGTATGCATGGGCACACTATGAACTGTTTTACTTGATTTCATTATTTCTGCCCTTTATTTACATGGGTGCACTATTTGCAACAACAACAACCACCACCAAAAAATCCAGTATATAGTCCTCTATGGAATTTAGAGGAAACCAGTGTAACAATACCAAAACAAAACCAAACTCAATGCTGTCAGGTTGGATCTGACTCACAGTGACCCATTCTTAGGTTTCCGAGGCGGTATCACTACGGAAGTAGATTGCTCAACCTTTCTTCCGAAGAGTGGCTGATGGGTTTGAGCCATCAGGCTTCTGGTT